TTAGACCGTTCCGAACAAAATTTGATATCTACAGTTATGATAACACGTAATTAACTAATAGCTTGACTTTTTAGATCTTTAGCGGAGTTGTCAAACTATCATAATGTTTAAATTTGAGAACCTACCCATTAAATATAAAAATTATAGAGTCGTTACCAATCTTTTTTATCTAGATGTGATTTATCACTTATGTGAATTTATCATTTTTAAGATTATCTTAAGTATAAACTAAAAGTTTCTTAAAAGAATAGATTATAGTTTGTGTTAACAAAACTAAATTCAAGAGTTAGTTACGAGCAGAGAAAGTTTTAGCACCCTATTACACCCAAAATTAGTACCAAATTAATCACATGTTATCTTATCAAAGACTTAATCAAAAATGATTTTATTAACAAATAAATTAATTTCAATCTTTTTATTTATTTACAAAATATTGTCATACAAAAAATTCTATCATAATCAAATCATGCACTCATGCAAATACCAAAAATATCATGCCAATATAAAGATCCTACCAGAAATCATGCCACGACTTCATGCAATAAAATAAGCAATGCATCATCCAACAATAAAAAATAAAATAAACCATGCAAAAAATATATTATAATTAAATCATGCAAAAATGAAGATTTTTTTTTCTTTTCCAAATTAAATTAATTTAAGGATAATAATTAAAAAAACAAATTAAAAGAATAAACAAAAAATAATAATAAAAACTTAAAAACTTGAATTACAAAACGGTTCCAGTCTGGAAGTGAATACCTACGCGAATCCTTCTTTTGTCACTAAAATAATAGTGTTTCAGTCTTTATATTTAAACTCCTTTTTAACTTCCTTCTTTTTGTTTGAAACATTTCTTCTATCTACTGTTTTTCTTCTCTCTAGCTTTTAAACTCTACCAAGAATCAAACGAACATCAAACCAATATCTAACGAATCCCGCTGCAACTTCCAATGATCATCACTTGTCACCTCAACCATTCAACCACCATCAACCTTCTCTTTCTCCTCTTTTTCTTATCTTTTGTATTCAAGCTTAGATCAAAACCTGAAATCAAAACCAACTGTAGATACTCTATTTAGTTCGAGATCTAAACCCATTGGGCCTAGCCTTTTGTGAGCCCAATTATGGATTTTGCATTGTTATTATTATTATTATTATTATTATTATTTATTGAATTTATGTTTTTTATATATACATATATTTATTATTATTATTTCTTTTGTTTTCTTTTATTTTTTATACTTATCTTTGTTGATTTTTTCATTTTCATTTTATTTAGATATTAAAAAAGAGAAATTATCAAAAATATATATAAGGAAAATTATTTTTAAAAAAGAAGAAAAAAGAGGGTTAAATGGCCAAATAAAGTTGGAAGAAGATAATGATAAGGTTGGGTCTCATCATGATTGACTTTGAACTCAAGATAAATTTGTTTTTGTGATAATCTTCAGTTTTTGAATTTGAAGTAATTTGAAACCCTAATAGTTTTGGTCCTATAAATAAACCTACAATCAACACAACAATTACACAAAAAATACATAAAAAAAACCAGACAGAATACAAAAAAAGCATTCGGCCAAAACCACCTTTTCACCATTTGTCAAGAAACCATCACCACCCTAATAAACAGCAATTAAGTCATTTATAAACTTTAACAGCTACTATTTCACTGCCAAAGCTCATTAACTAAACCAACATCACTTGGATTCCTCATGAACCCTGTTTGCACACTTGCAAAGGAAAACAATTATAGCAAGCAATCTGGTCACCATCACAGCTCTTGATCACCATCTTCACCACAACACTAGCTTAAATCACTCACAAATCCACCCAAAAACCAACAACCCTGATCATTCATTACCAAAATCAACTAATCATGCAATACCCAAAACCCATAATGTCCAAAATCTAATAGACGATCAAAGTACAAAAATCACAATCAACCTAAAATCTCTGACAATAACATAGGATACAAGTAGCAAAACAACAAATTAGAATGGAACCTAACATAAAAAGCTCAACCAATGATTCAAAGCCAAAACCAATAAAGAAAATTGACAAGACTTGTTTAGAGGTTTCACAGTTTTCTTTTTTTTTTTTTTTAGAGAAGGTGAAAATAGGAATAATTTGGTGATTTATGCATTGAAGATGGGAGCTGTAGATGGCAAAGAAACAATTTCAAGGCCTATGGTTTTGAATTTGGATGTAGCAATTTTAGGAGGATTGTCAAGTTTATGAACAGGTCAAAGGTCAGAACAAGAGAAGATAGATCAGAAAAGTCACCAATTTCTATGTTGTTTGGGTAGAAAAGAAACAGGGAGAAAAGTGTCTAAAAAGGAGAAATAAGCAAATGAGAAAGAGAAAAAACCAAACAAGAAAAGTAAAGAAATTTGATAAAGCCAATAAAATGACTTGAAGGTTTTAGGTGAAAAACCTACATGCTTAGGCTCCATTTTGGTTAAACTTTAGTACTTTTTTATTTTCTATTCTTACTTTTCTTATTTTCTTATTCTTTATTGTTTATTTAATCACCAAATTTCAAGCTAATTCCTGAAAAAGTGTTTCATTATTTTATATGGGTAAAGCATATAATAAAAAATTGAAATAATTTTTTTTATAAAAAATTATTATAATAATTTCAATGATTAAGGAAAAAGTTGAAGTATTAATTTTTCTTTAAACAAAAAAATTTTTTAAAAATATTTTGAGAAAAAGTCAAAATATCAATTTTTTCTTTAAAAAAATATTTCAAAAAATATTTTGAGGAAAAGTTGAAGTGTCAATTTTCCTTAAATAAGAAAATATTTCAAAAAATATTTGAGAAAAAAGTTGAAAGTATCAAATTTTCCTTAAAAAAAGCATCAATTTTTCCTAAAATAAAATTTAATAAAAATTCAGGAAAAAGTTGAAGTATTAATTTTTCCTTGAAATTTAAATTTTTTTCTAAAATTTCATTAAATAAATATTAAATAATCCGATGATGGATTCTTTAAAAGAGAAACAGTAGTTGTCTTATATACCCTTGAGGTGAAGGAATTCTTTTGATTTTCTATTAAAGCATTGGAGTCAATTAAGAATAATTTTCAATAATTGATTATATGATAAAGTTTTTCTTAAGCTTAGATGATATGAAATTAAACTAGTATCATCTTTTTGTATGGTTGTTGTGAGGGTTTTATAACCTTTCTCATGTGTAATCGAGCTTTTAGACCTAGTCTTGGTTTAGTAGACTAGAATTTACCTTTTAAAGATACCTAAATCAAGTTTGAGATTTCTCTTTAAAATGGGATAAATTCAATTAAATGGCCAATCGCACCTAAACAAAAAAGATTGGTGACGATTCGTTTAGTCATGTCTAGCGATAGATTCACAAATCTACACGTTACGACACCAACCATTGTTGTTTCTTTCTCTACTAATAGCACATCCTAAAAATTTTCAAAGAAAAAGCCAAAATCAAAACCCTTTCTTTTCTGAAAAGCTACCTTAAACCAAAACTTTTTTTATGGTAAAATTGCCATCTCTATGCCTTTTAGTGCCACCTGAATGTGCTGTATAATTGGATTTTACTGTATTCATGAATCCTTATGGCAATGTTAGGTTGTTTACAGCTAAAGTTTAATTTTATTTGTAAAGCTATTTCTTTGTTCTTGTTTCCTTTTTAATGAAATTCTTTATTTTATTGCCAAAAAAACTCAACCTACATACATTGCTATATTTAAGCAAGAGTAATATAATCTTGCATTTTATAAAAACTTTAATTCATGAATTAATGATAAAATTCATGTCACTGACATTACTTCCTTAATTTCAATATATAATATGATATAAATCATTACTATAATTATATAATAATTATGTTATGTGTGTTTTGTTCATGTAACTATGTTAACATGCTAATATTCTTATTTGTAGTTAATTGGATATGTTACAAAAGTATAAAATTGCTTTGAAAAGAGCCTCAACAATAATAATGTTGTATTGAATATAAATATAATTCATTATAAATTGTGAACTTCTAATTAAAAAGTTTGGTCTAACTAAACATTCAACTTTAAATAATGTTCCTTTCAAACAAAACTACATTAATCCTTATAAAATCCATGATGATATATATATATATATATATATCAATGTCTAATGCTTCATTATTTAAAAAAAGAGAATGCTACTTACACTCTTTTAAAACACTTTTTAAAATTATATTTTTATTTTTTTAAAAAAAATTACATCATCTACTTATAAATGTTCAAAATACCTTTTAATCTTAAAAAGTGTTTTTAAATAGTGCATGTAGCAATCCTCTTTAATGAATTTGATATGTTTAAAACACTTCATTGTATCCCCCCTATGAGGAATCACAAATATTTTAACTATTAATTATAATGATTTTTATTTAAAAAAGATTAAATAAAAATTTAAAATCAAACATGGTTTTCTATATATCTCTATATTTACAAAGTAAGTGAATAAAAACTTAAACAAATTAATTGAAATTATATATATATGTAAAATCCAATCAATCTATGGTTGATGGATTAATATTGAAAATTTATCATAAGGTTTAACTAAAGTGCCAATTAAATAAAATATTAATGTGTTAACACATGAAAGTTTCAAACAAAAAAAAAATGTTAAGACATAAACTATTTGACAACAATCAATCTATTGGTTTGAAATATTAGTTTTAGTTTTTATTTAATCTCATGAAATTAAAAACTTCAAAAACATTATGTAAAAAGAAATTGTTGGTTTTTTTTTTTTTTTGGGTTTTATGAATAAAAGCGGTTAGGTGTAGGTGAGAATTTTTATCAAAATATGGCAAGTTCATAATTAGTAAGTGGGGATAGGGACAGAGAACATGCCTTATTTGTAAAGTCGTGAAGGCCAAGGCAAATGTCTATAAATGAATTACGAAGTAAGGTTTTGAGTGTCTAAAGTTGACCTATATTAATCTAGCTAGCTTGCTCGTCTTTGGCCGATAGCAACACCCAAATATGGGGAGACAATCGACGGCTCGAAAGTGTTCCATTTGCCGACGCCAAGGCCACTATTCGACTACCTGTCCACTCAAACCTGCAAAAGATAATCGTTGTATGCTCTTTGGTTCGAATTTACTTCAAAGAAAACAAGGTATATTTATATATACATTCAATATTCTTTCTTGTTTGATCGAGAGAATTCTCTATTCAACACCTATTGTCTCTTTTTCTTTTTTTTTTTCATTAAAGAGTAAATGTTTTTTTTTTTTTTTTAGAATGAAAGCTCATTCAACTTTTTATATGCAATAGAATCTCTTTATAATAATTCTCAAAGATTTTTTTCAATGAATAGTAGTTAATTTTATTCTTTATTTTATATATTTATTATAATTTATTTTATTTTTAATTTCTTTTTAAATGAGACATCAAAACTCAATTAAAAAGATTATACATAATAACAAGCTTTTAGATACATCTATGTAGATATGGTGATTTGTATATTTCTATCGTGTAAAATATTATAATCCATGTATGCTTATTATGTTTTACACAAAAATTATGTATTATAATTCGTATTGATATAAAAATATAAAATATATTTTTTTAATTTTGTTAAACTTATATATAATTATTACTAAATTTTTAAACCGTATCATCTTCATATCCTATTTTTGTATTGTGTGCGTGTCATGTCATATATCATATATTAAATTGCCGCATAAGTAATCAGTTGATACAAGAAAAATGGTTTTAATTTTTTTCATATAGAAATTTAATGACAACATTTATTTCTTATCATTGCTTAAAATATGAATGAAATTATTTATTTAGATATTTGTTGATATTTAAACTAAAATTAATATATATATATTTTTTAATTGTTAGATGAATTAAATTAAAAATAAATTGATAAATATATTTAATTTCAGTATTAAGTGATAAATAATAACTCTATCACATATATAACTTAACAATTATAATTTTAGTATTTATATTCACATAAACAATTATAATTAAAAAATCATAATTTATGTTGACTTTATTTAAGTTATTACCTAGCTAATGTATTTTTTATTTTTTGTAATTACCTAATATATTTTAAGTGTTAATTCAACTAAATTTACGAATCCATCCTTATGAAAATTGTTCAAGAAAGAATTAGGATAAATATATATTAGTTATGAGATGCAATTTGTTTTTGCAGGGAAGCCTTGGACGGAGGAGGAGCACAGGGCATTTTTGAAAGGTTTGGAAGTGTACGGACAGAGTAAATGGAAACACATTTCAGAGAATTTAGTGAAAACTAGAACTCCAAGTCAGATTGCGAGTCATGCACAGAAATATAATCTGTGGTTGAAAGCAATTGCAAATGATCCTGAGAAGCAATCCAAATATAGCATCTTTCAAATTCAATCTGTAAATTTCCTCTTCCTTTCTATACAATTGAACAAATACCATCAATTATATATTCATTCATACGTGTAGCAATGCTTCAATTGACCATAGCAAAGCCCCCCCCCCCCCTCCTTTTTTTTTTTTTTTCTTTCTTTGTTCATGCATGTTAATTAATGAAATTTTTTGGACTTAATTTTCAGCAGACTCCAATTTCTCAAGTTTCCTCCTTCACAGCAAGCGGCGGTGCAAGTGAAACTACACCACCGGTAAGTTTGTCAATACCATATAGCTATATGCTATATATATATATATATATATATTATTCTACTCTTGAAATTTCAAAACAAACAAAAAAAAAAGTGAATTAAGATAGATATGGATGGGTTTGTTGTAAATTACAGGCTCATTCTTTAGCTAATTATATTACTGCTGCAAATCCATTCTCATGTTTCAGCATGTTTCCACCATTCTCATTGCAATGTATTATTATTTATCCAAGGAAAATTTGTGAATTTGGATGATTTTGCTAGTTGAATATTGCAAGAGTGAAACTACCCTGAAGAAGGTTGAGTTGAAACTGAATTTCTTGCCTTTTTCTTCATATTCAAGGTTTTGCATTTCCCAACCAAGAGGTCTTTACATAGATTGTCCCACTGAACTTTAAAAAATTTATTAAATATATGTACAAATTTCTTAATTTCTAATAAAAATATTAATGTTTCCTCCACAAAATTAAAAAATTTAATGAAATCAATAATTTTGCTACCACAAAATTGAAAATTTTAACGAAACTAAGAGTTTTACCTCCACAAAATAATTTCTTTTTAGAAAATAATAGTTTTGTCATGTTTATATTTATCAAAATTAAAAAGTTTGAGCATATAAATATTTTTGAATGTAGCATCAGCTTGTTTTAGCCATTCATTATTTTATAAGAAATGTGAAACACAAATTTTATTTGAACCAATCATTTATTTTGATAATTTTGCACCCACTCATATAAATTATTGCATCCATCCCTGTTCACAACTCATATGCATGTACTTGAATTCTAAACTTATTCACTATTATCTGTTAAAAGTGATAACAAATTTATAATTTAATAGACAGTATATTATCATCAAATTTAGGGAGGAACAGTCTATTAACTATAAAATTCTTTCTATAAATAACATTATATATTACATTATCCATTTGTAAGTCTTATCCTTGTTTTTCTTACTTTAAACTTATTTATTCCTTTCAAAATCTCCAGAAATTAAACTTAAGCCTGGATATCTGAACATGTTTCATATTTTAACAGGTATCAGCTCCTAACAATTGGCAGAATTTTTCAGAAACTAATTATATGGTGCCAATGTCAAATCCGACATTTGCTCATAAGATGTATTTTGAAAGGCAGTATCAGTACTTACCCTTCAGCTTGCGTCAGCATATATATTTCTAAAGATGGTTCAATCGGAGCTTGAAATTTGCCTGCTTCAAAATTCCCAACATCATCTCAAGCAAGTCAAGATACTGACACCACCTTCGATTTAATTTAATTTCTTTTCAAATATTTTTGATAATTCCGTATTGCTGCTATAAGGGGAGTAGAATTACAATAATTATATATTTTTATTGCTGTCAGCTATGGTTCAAGCAATCCTTTTCCATCTGGTTCATTTATAGAACAGATATTTTGGGATCTTCAAATAATTGCTGTTTGTTGCTTTCTATATGATCCTATGCTTTTTCTTTGTCCTTCTTGTTATGGCTTGTTTTTGTTTTAATGCAATTTCTTTATTCAGTACCCAAAAAAATAAAATCCAAGAATTATGGTTAATTAATCTCATTTGCATGATTGGCATATTATGGTTAAAACCAATTCATTCATGCTTATTTTATGTTGAGAATTAATTTTATACTTCTATTTAATTCTTTGGATTTGTCATTCAAATGAGACTACATAATTGGTATGTAATAACTATGACCGAAAAGTTGATCTCAATTATGAAATATACTTGAATTAGAAACTTCACTAACTTCTTCTCATTCAAGTTCCTCAAGTAAAACTTGTAGTTTTCTTCAATGGCCTAGTTTGCTATAAACTAGCATCTCCAATAGGGATAGGTGGAACAAAGACATACAAGTTCCTTTCTCGCTTGAGAACTATTTTCAAGTCTTAGTAGCATTTCAGAAAGTTTGTCCCAATTGGCATCCAATATGCATCGAAGTGATGAGTAACTGGAAAGTTTTGAATGCTTCTGAGCAACTATAGATTATTTCTAAGAACACACTTAGAAACACAGTTGTACCTTCAATAATTCAAGTAAAACTCAAATAAGCTCTAGAGGAGCTCAACTTGACTTTCCTAGTTGTAAGTAAACAATGAACCTATGATACTTACAGAACTGATATTCCTTTCAGATTCTGTACAAAGGGAGGTTGGGATAACTATTTGCCATCAACAATTCCCAAACTATATGTATTGCAAAAATAGAACTCCAAAAATAAGTTTTCCTGAATTGTCAGTATCTTTATTTTGATAACAAAGCAAAGAACACATAGTATCTAAATTTTTACATCAGGAATGACTGCAAAAGTATACTACTTATATAAATTACTAATAAGAAGTATAAAACTTCTCTCTTTTAGTTGTGATTTTAAAAGTACAGCAAAGATCCTTGAAATGACATATCTCAATGTATACACACTTGAAGTGATAATTGTTAGCAATTTATTTATTTTTAGGGCCTTATAATCACTATATATGCTCAGTTACATAGATTATTTACATTTAGAGTACATAAAAATCCAATAGAAGACAAGCAGGTTCAAGAAGCATAGTTTATGCAATGAAACATGAGAAAAAAAGATTCCTCTCTCCCTCATGATGATAGAGAACTCATCTGCATGAATCTTTCAGCCTCCTCAAAGCGACCAAAAGTATTAAGAAGTTCAATTATTACAGAGTAATGTTCTTTAGATGCCTTGAGTTTATATTTACGAGTCATTACACAGAATATTTGGCAAGCCTCATCAACAAATCCAGCCTGTTTGCAAATTGATAAAACCACTTTGAAAGTGATATGGTTTGGAGTGAAACCATCAGATGGCACTTGATGAAAAAGACGAACTGCATCTTCACAAAGATTATTATATCCAAAAGCCTCTATAATGGCAGTCCACGTCATAGAACCCTTAACAGGGACTGCATCAAATACTGACTTTGAACTGCAAATCAATCCACAACTGCCATACATCACAATCTCTGCAGAGACAAAAGGAATTGAATCAAAATCTTTCTTCAAGACCTGTCCGCGAATCTCCTTTCCAAGCCTTACAGCTCCAAGCTTACTGCAAACGTTGAACATCCTTGCCATTGCCACTGAGTAGGGCCTGTGTTTTGACAACTGCATTGACCTAAACACCAATTGCTTCATGTAAACACCCACTCTCCACATATGACTCAATCATGGCTGTCCACAAAATTACATTCCTTGCCTCTAAACCATCAAACAATTTGAAAGAACAATCTAAAACACCACATTTTGAGTAAATAATCATCAGAGAAGTAACAATAGATACATTGGGAAAGAAACTATTTTTTACAACATAAGCATGAATCTCCTTCCCATGATTCAGAGCCCTCAATTCAGCACAAACTGGAAGAACTGTGGCAACCGTGACAGCATCAGGCTTGAACCCTTCCTGGTGCATCCAAACAATTGATCTCAAAGCCTGATCAAGCCTCCCATTTGATACGCATCCTGACATTAAAGCAGTCCGAGAAATTGCATTCCTTTCTCTAGAACAATAAAAAACTCGCCTGCCTGAATCCATATGACCACGCTTACAATACATATCAACTAACCCAGACTGAATAGCCAACTGCTTGGAATAGCTCTTCGACTTAACCACATAAGTATGGACCTCCTGGCCTAGTTTCCATGCCCAAACTTCCCCAATCACTGGAAGAATTGTAGTAAGTGTAACAGAATTCGGATATATCCCTTCACTTATCATGTATCTAACACAATCCAAAGCTTCCCTTTGCCTCCTATTACGAGCAAAACCAGCAATCATTGCCCCCCACAAAACAATATCTCTCTCAGTCATTTCTTCAAACATACGGTACGCGAGCTTAACCTTACCGCATTAAAAGTACATATCAATCAAACCAGTCCAAAGCATTGAACTATCAATGAAACCATTTTTAATCAAAAGGCATGAGCCTTTAACCTTGTCTAAATGCTGATGTACCAGCGAAGCTCTTAAGAACAGTAGAGAAAGTGAACACATTCAATTTGACCGGCAACGATCTCATTTCAGAGTAGGTAGAAAGCACATCCAAATACGGTTTCTTACCCGATAAAACAGTGCCTCTAAGCAAGGCATTCCAGGAATAAACGTTCTTGCTAGTACATTCATCGAATACCCTTTGGGCGTCTGTGATGGAGCCACAAGAGGTGCACATATGAGCAAGTTTGGTACGTAAAAACTCGTTGTTTTCGAACCCATTTGTTCTAATATGAGTATGAATTTGTCTTCCATCGGCTAAGGGTTTGGAACGAACGCAAGCAGCAAGGAAAGAAGAGAAGGTGGTGGGATTAACAAGGATGCCTTGTTGGTCTACGTAGTCTAAAATGGCAAGGCCTTCTTTGAGCTTGTTTTGTCTAGCGAATGCTTGAATGTAATTTACATGTGGGTTCTTGGTGTGAAGCGGCAAAGAGGATAGGAATGCGTTTTCCTCAACCAATGGTATTGTTGGTGGTGGTGGGTTTCTTCTGTGGGGAAATTTGGTTTGTTTTTTGGATCTTGCGGAGGCTTTGATTCTGGAAAATTGGTTGGTTTTATAGAAGATGGGCATCGGAGGGGAAGAGTGAATACTGAATGAAAGGTAATGAGATTGGGCGCATTCCATGGCTTGTTCCTGTACGGTGGGGGAGAAGGTGTTCCTATACGGTGGGGGGAAAAAAAAGTTAAAAAGAGTATAAATGATACATTAATATTTATAAAATTTTTAGGTTTGATTCGAATAAAATTTAAATTAGATTCAATTATTATTGAGTTGAACTCGAACTCAAATAACTTAATTTATTTATTAAGTCAAGTTTGAGTAATTTTATACCTGACTCAAGTAGCTCGCGAGTCTAATCGAATTTTTATTTTTTAATATATTTTAATTATTTTAATTGATTAAATATCTCGAATTTAAGTATAAATAATCAAACTATAGTGAAATATAAGAATTAAACTTATTTTTATCTATTAATCAAACTTAATCGAGCGAATTCGAGTAACTCGATTTTTTTCTCAAGTCGAACTCGAGCTAAAAAATAAAATTCGATCAAATTCGAATTGATTTTCGAATTTCAAATTTAGAGTTGAGCTTGAGTTTAATACTATATTAATTTGAATTTGATCTATTACACTTCTAAGCCAAAACATTCAACAAATCAACTTCATTGGAATTCAAGGGCTCTTAATAAATAAATAAATAAATAGACTACTTATTTCATCTATCTAGGCTAGATATAAACAAGCTTATGTTATCTATTCTATATAATATATTTTTTAATATTTGTTAAAGTAAAATAATTTTAAAATTAAATTAGTGAAAACTTAAATATAAGAAATCAAGTAATTTCTTTAATTATATTATTACATTTAGTAATTAATTAATATATTATACGTTTAATAATATAAGAACTTATCATTCTAAAAAAAATGTAATAAATTTTAATCTAATAAAAAATAATGAATACATAAAGTAAGTATTAATTAATTAAATGCATTGTTTACAAATGAACATTTTAATGAATAGAATTTGAAACTCTAATTTAAAGATATTAATGAAATGGAATTATGATATTAACGAAATAAAATGACTAAAGCGAGTTCAAAATATTTCTGAATTATAATTTAATAATTATTTAAATTTTTAATATTTTATTACAATTAATTAAATTATTAATTTTTTATTGTAACTTAATTAACTTAAATAAATGGAATCTAATTATAAACCACTTAGTTGCACCAATTTATTTGAAATATTTGAAGTCTTCTTACCCTAAGTGGTATGATACAACGTTACTTGTGATTATCATCTTGTTATTTCGGCCCAATGTATAGAAAATTGCATAGCATTGAAGTATAAGATACAAAATTTAATTAAAGTTGGTTGGTGAATTTTGATAAAGGAGTAAGACCAAATGCTATTGGAAATCCTTTGTCTAACCACACAAAGGTATAATTCTAAAAAGGCTTTTACGATAAAGTTAAAGTTGTCTATCACAATAAGAGTTTTTAAGAAATAATGCAAGCTTTTAAATACGTGTGATCATTAGAGATTCCTTTTAAATGTTGGTCTTTTAGTTATCTTTCATTTATCATTTCAATATGATAGCATATGCATTTTCTTTATTTTTCTTTTTTTCATTCTTTTGTTTTTATATATCTATT